GTCCATTGTGTCGCTCAGGTGGATCTGAATAAAAAAAATTAGTTTAAATTAAAAAATACCAAATACTCACTGATCATTGTGCCCTTGAGATGAATCTAAGTGAAAAAAAATATTTGAAATAAAAACAAATACTCACTGTCCATTGTGCCTTGTGATAAATCTAAATGAAAAAAAAATATATTACATAAAAACAAATACTTACTGTTCATTGTGTCCTCTAGATGAATCTAAATAAAAAAATCACTTTAAATTAAAAAAATACTTACTGTACACCGCGCCGTTGAGATGAATCTAAATGAAAAAAATTGTTTTAAATAAAAATAAGCACTTACTATCCACTGTGTCACTGACGTGAGATGAATCTAAATAAAAAAAAAATTTTAAATAAAAATAAATACTTACTATACACCGTGCCGTTGAGATGAATCTAAACGAAAAAAAATTGTTTAAGTAAAACCAAATACTCACTGTCCATTGTGCCTTGCGATAAATGTAAATGAAAAAAATATTTTAAATAAAGAGAAATACTCACTGTCTATTGGGTGTTTGAGATGAATCTAAATAGAAAGAAAAGTTTAAATAAAAACAAATACTCACTGTTCATTGTGCCTTGCGATAAATCTAAATGAAAAAAAAATTGTTTTAAATAAAAATAAACACTTACTGTCCATTGTATCATTGAGATGAATCTAAATGAAAAAAATGGTTTAAATAAAAACAAATACTCACTGCCCATTGTGCCTTGCGATAAATCTAAATGAAAAAAAATTGTTTTGGATAAAAATAAACACTTACTATCCATTGTGTCGTTGGGGTGAATCTAAATGAAAAAAATATTTTAAATTAAAGCAAATACTCACTGTTCATTGGATCGTTGAGATGAGTCTAAATAAAAAGAATTGTCTTAAATAAAAAGAAATACTTACTGTCCATTGTGTCGTCGAGATGAATCTAAATTAGAAAAATCACTTTTAATTTAAAAAAATTACTTACTGTGCACCGTGCCGTTGAGGCTAACCTAAATAAAGAGAAAAATTGTTGTAAATAAAAACAATACTTACTGTTGAAGTTTGGAGAATTGCCAATTAATCGCATGTATTGAAATAACCACGGAGTAATGTCACTTTATTCGAATACCCGAAAACCCCTGTTCAGTCGTAATTAATCGATGATTTTCGTGCCATAATTTCGGTTAGTCGCTAGCGGATCCGATTTTCACGATTAACCATGGAAATTGAGAGAATTTTAACGACATCGGTTATTTTCATAACAGAAAATTAATAGGATGTTTGACAAAACAGAGAACTTTAGGCGTTTTACTATAGTTTAACATGATTTTTCTTAGTGATAATATGCTTATATTTCAAATATTAAATCATCTATATAAAATACAATGTTTCATCACAATGTACAAAATGAAAACAAAAAAGAAGAAATTGTCATCCAAATGTTTCGTCAAAATTTGATTGACTAGTTCGTTGTGCTTGACTTTGTTTAAGTGACTGTCGAGCCTGTTTGAGTGGTTCTCGTCGACGTTCTTCGATTAGAAAGTCAGTGAGTTTTCGTCGCAAGAGTCCTCGATAAAATAGCCCAAAATTAATCGAGTCCAGTTTATACTTGTATCGAACAGCCTCTATAGAAAATAAGCATTTGACATCTGGAAACAGAAACTAAAGATGTTTACTTACCGAGAAATTTCTTGAATCGATCTTTGGCCAGAGGTGGACGAGCAAGATGTGGTTTACCTGGTGGCAGAATAGAATTCTTTAATTCATCACTAGTATAAATAATTTGTAAAATTTGTCGGGCATAATCTCCATAATCCGTAGCCATAACATCAAGTAAATTGATTTCTCCAAACATCTAAAAAGAACCAAGAAATAACATAGCATCGGAATTGTTGATACATTGATAGGGAAACTTACGTATTCAGATGGAAAATGTTCACCTGATTTATCAATATACGATTCAATAGCATGCTTATTGTAGAACCAAAAACCCTTCTTGCCAAAAAAGTAAATTAAAAACTTGAAAAACTGTAATTAGATGTTATTTTATTAGCAGAGTCTGAAGTCATTTGAAATAGTAATTATCTGTGGTCTACCTTAACTCTTTAAACTTTAATTTTCTGACATATTTAAATTAAATCTGATAGATAATATTTCATCAATCAATAAACAACACTATCTCATAATTTGCTGTGGCTGTAAACGAACCAATAGAGGAACATTCTTTTTTAAAGGTAACTCACAATATTAACAGTTGAAGCAAAACGATCAATTTTGGTGGAAAGCCGTTGCATTTGTTGATCAATCTTGGATGAAGTTGATACGAATTTTTCACTCAATTCACCAACTCGATTATCAATGTCTTCCAAGATATTAGAATCTAAAATATAAGAAGCGACAATTATTCCTCATATATCTATATAGATGGAAACTCACATATTTCAATTTTCGATTTACTCTTGCTATTCATACGAATATTTTCAGCTTTATCAATTTGAACATTTTGATCACCTAAAATTACAACAGTAAAACAAATAACAATACTTTTCCAACTCGCGTAGATCTTTTGAAATATGTTTTGTTGAAGTTGTCATATCCATGTTCTTCTTCTTTTTGGTTGTTACTCCTAATGACTGTTTGTGAATTCGTTTACGACAGTCAAAAAAAGTTGTTTCTTCATCATCAGTAGAAATCTCTTCTTCTATGAAATCACATAATATAAATAACATTTTTAAAAAGAAGATCAGATAGAAAAGTTCAAAACGATCAAGAAGCCGATACCAAATCATTAAAACATTCAATCATAGTAATAACGATAGACTCGGAAAATACAGTTTCATCTGCGGACTTTTTGCGGTAAAAAGTATCACAATTCGAATTGATGTCATGCAAGGACAGAAAAAATGATTCGAGATTTTAGTATTTGTTGTTAATCTCTAAAGCGCGAGATCATTCTAATAGATCGGAGACAATATTTGACATATCTCAATAACTTAATATCCATTAAAAAAAGGAAAGAAAATAACCTTTATCAGATATTTGTCGTGGTGATTGAATGCTTGTTAAGATTGGTGACGATGATACAGTTGATGATAAACAATTTGATGACGCAGGTTTTGAATACACATTAACATCGTTCATGGGCCAATCGTCGATAGTCAATTTATCATTTTCAGAATCAACTAGAAGATTCAAAAACTGTAATATATTTAAGGATGAAACATGACGGTGTACCATCATCGTGTTCATCAGTTTCATTTTGTGATACGCGAGTTAATCTAACATATTCGGTATTGCAGTCTTCAAGAGAACCTAAAAAAAATAATTCAGAGCATGAAAAAAATTAAGTATGAACACATACCGTGGCAGACTGCTTTTGCTTTTACAAGTTTATTACGAATCATTATAGACACGACATCGCCAGTTATTTGTTTGATACTTGATCGTGCAGCTATTTGATATGAATTAGTATCTTCAAAAACAAGTAAATAATGACTTGGTGGTGGTGTACGTTGAGTAGGCGTAAAAACATGACGAGGAACCACTTGTCGACGTGATGTCATTGCTTTAAGAAGATATTAACAAGAAAATGTCGAACAGCACGAAGAATAAGGATATACATACATATTGCAATAGAATAGACAAAGCTATTGTTGAGCCATATCTATTCAGCTCCTTTTTCTCGCTCTATTGGACGAACAAAATGAAGTTACCGGCGTCTTTTCTCATTCATTCTTTCATTCATCCAGATGAAAAAAATTTACGTACTACTTAATACTTTATTTAAAAGAATGATTTAGTCATGTTCGTATGATGACGACAGCGGCGTTACAACAAGTGAATCGTCAAAAGTAAAAACAACACATATATTTAATATGCTATCAACTGTAACAATATCACAAAAAGTAGAAGTACGATGAAGTAGATAGAAATACATATTTAGCGCCTTAAGCAAAGCAGGATGATATTGGGAAGAGAGAAAAATATCTGTAAATAGGTGCTTCACACTGTGATTATGAATTAAAGCATAGCTTTTGTTATTGCACGTGAAGAACAATTCGACTACACCAAATAGATTATCACGATCTTTTGAATACTGAACGAAATAACTCACTGTTGATCCTCGTCTAGTATATATTAATGAATGATATACGATTTGTTCTATCCGATAACGACGGTATACACGAATACATTGATCAACGTGATCACAATTACATAAAGCATTATGACTCTCACGAACAAAATTGTTAATTGACATATTATGAGGATCAAATAAACCGTTGATTTTGATCGACTTATTTGATGACTGATGTTCTAGTTGATTGTGTATGGTAAAGTCAATCTGACATTGTAATAAAAATAACGTGAGTGAAGTTAAATGTGATGAACAGAGCACTACTTACATTGTAGTTGTTTGTAATTAATTCTCCAAAATTACGTGTTCCATGCCGACTTTTAGCAAAGTGCCCCAACAATGATTCTTGACCAAAAACACCCAGATTAGATAAACTGCCATGCAAATAATATTGATCCGCCAAATGACAATGTAGATGCAAAACAAAATGTTGAATATTTGTATAGAACAATTGATGATCTTTATAGTAAGCGTTCATCAATTCATTAGCTACAATTTCTGTATCATCACCAAGTTTACGAGGTCCATGCAGTAACTTTAATATAAAAGATTTATCCGATTTCAGAGATAGAAAAAAAAGCTTTTACTAATTAAAACTCCAGTATATACACACGTGTCATCTCGAAAAGGTAAAAATTTGTCTAGTGAATATACACTCTTTCATATTTATGACAAAGAAGGACAAAACAAATTGCAAATGTAAAAGGAGTTAATGCAATTCTTTTGGTTGCTTCTGTTTTTCATCTTATATATTCTGTCGTGACTGAATAGTGATTTGGAAATTGGTGTGCACATTGTTTCATTTATGGTAATTTACAGCTTGGTAAGCTTTAATTATTTTCAAAGCTTAACATATTAATTTGATACATTCTGATCAAATATCAGAGAAAGAATTTATACATATATTCGTCTATTTTAAATTAAAACAAAGCCCAATCGTGAAAGAACTTCAAGTTCAAATAAAAAAGGTGCTGAAAAACTTATTGTAACTGAACATAGTATAAGTACACCGCTTTCGATTCCTAAGTGTTAGTAATTCTAATACTTGAACTGTGAATTAAATATTCTAAGGCTTATACAGTCGAAACGATATCTTCCTCTGTGTATTTAGCAAATGAAAAAAAGTAATTCTCCAGTTTAAAGAGTATTTAAAAAACATACCCGCATTGCTGTTACATAAAGTGATAAATGAGCAGCTAAATCAACAGGCAGAAATGATCGAATGAGCGGCAACAGACCATATAATAACATATTTCGCAATTCTGTTGCTCTAATAAGAATAATCTTATATGAATAAAAATTCGAAGAAGTAGGTGTACACACTTGATATACGAAAATTCTTTAACGGGACGCATTTTGCGGTTGCAGAAATGGGGAAAAGGTTGATGACGAAAAAGCTCATCTAGCTCATTTCTTTGTTTCGGTTTTAAATATTTTTGATAAAGATATTGAATAACAGTGCGTGTATGGCGAAGAAGCGACACATGCATATAATCAATAATTAAACAACGTGGTAAAGGGATATTAAAAACGGTAGCAAGAGGAGAAACACCAAGATGACCAAATATATTTTTGTTTGTTCTTTCTGCTTTCTCTGAATAATGTGCATATTCAGTTGTTGATCGAAGAACAAGTTCATTTTGGAAATAATATTGTCTTTTGTTATCAATATGAATACCTTGTATGTAGCAAAACCAACAACACCAATAACCTTGATGATTAACATGTTTCGTTGCAAGCTTGATTGCCGGGCAATCACCAGTAAGTCCATAAACTACCAGTTTGTAATTTACACCAGATCGAGTTGGAACACCTACAATTGTAAACAAAATTAGATTTTAGTAAAAAGCTGTCTAATATTCTTTATTAGTATAACTTGAAAGTTAAAACGAGAAAAACAATATTTTCAGCAGTGAATTCGAAGAACCCGGAAACCTAATGGTATCTCACAATTAGCAAAACCAACATAAAGGACATTAATCACTTTTTTTTGAGCAAAAATTTTATGCTGTATTACACCCGAAAAAATTTTCCTGATAAATGAATTTTTTTTCTTTGAAACGATTGGTTTGTAAGAACTACTTCCTTCTTGTAACCGATCGCAGTTCTATATATTACATTTTTTATTTGTTGTTTAGTAAGTCTTATTACAGAATGAGATTTATAAATACCTGTATCTTTGAGAATCTTCAGCTGTTGTAAACATTCACTTAACCATAAATCAATAAGTGGATCGCAATGGCCAATCCAAACGGAAAGAATAACCATGTTAAAACGGCGATACCGTAGATGGATAGGAAGTTCAATTAAACTGCAGCTGAATAACCATAAGGTAAGCTTGCTTGATTTGCACAAACTAATGCCATCCAAGTGTAATAATAAAGAAATAAATGGCGATGAACCATATTTGTTTTGAAGTTCTTGATAGATTTTATTAAACATAATATCGTTGTTGTTGTATGGCGATAAATGATCGACGATGATTTGTTTCCGATTACATTCAATATCAGGTAAAAGACGATCCAAAGTTCGTGCGAATACTAATGGTTGATTAACATCAAATATAGTAGCAATTGATTTATCGTCAAGTGAATTACAATTATTGCACGTTTTGTCATTAGGGAACAAACTACTATGACATTGAGTACAAATCAACCTTTTATTAAAGAGTTGTTCGACTAAAACGAGAATACCAAATGAACATAGTTTTCGATTTTTCTACTTCCTAAATATAGTACTAGTCTTGTTTAACAGACTCGGAGTAGTTTATATCATTTTGATAAAAAAATACAAGTTTACCTTGCATTGAATTATATAAAGCTTTTAATGTTGTTGGTGAATTATGAGGTTGTGGAAGAACTCCATTAATCACCCGAAGAAAACGTGAACAATGGATGTTGCTAATATTAGCATCTCTAAAAATTTCAATTAATTGTCCACAAAAATCGTGTGTTTTGATGGTTGTATGTGAATGGAGATAAGAACTATTTTGATTGTTATTCGGTGGGAATAAATCATCTAATACGAGTGGCTCATCTTGATCATCAAAAGGCACTTCACAATATGAATTAAGTCCAGATGGAAGTTCAATTGTATCCTCTTCAAGTGAAATAAGATCGAAATCAGCGTCAATATCTGATGTTTCTTCAGGATCAGTTGACAGTTGTTGTATCATCTCGAGATGATCGTTTGACCCTTTCTCCTTTGGATTATCATATGTTGTTACAGAATCCTGAGCAACTGTGGTTGAACATATTTCAATTGTTTTTCGACGACGACGACGGATATTACTTTGTTCTTGCCTATATTGTAATCGTTCTTGAGCATGTTCAAGAGCGATACGGAGATGTTGATACATACTTGAGACAATATGCTAATTTAATAATAATAAACGCAAAATAATCTAAATCATAAGGTTTCAACAAAACTTCGAAAAGGAAATGCATAATATTCGATGAAAACTATGTTATATTTATGTTCTTGCATTGCTATATAGAATAGACCTAGTCAGTATGACCAAGTACAAATATAAATAAAACGATTCAAATGAGAAGTCAAAATGCACTATGCTAAGAAAAATACATGTATCATATCTATCATCACAATAGGACGTCAACAATGAAATATATAATACTAGAAAAAAACACATAATGTGTATAATTATTCAAGTAATGTATTGACTATCTAACACGAATGGAAGAGAGAAAGAACATTGAAACGGCGAACAATTAATAACTATTTGTAAGTTGAAAATGACAAGAAAGTGATGAAAATTTAACCTGAATTAACTTGTTTCGAATTTTTTACTGCTATATCAATCTTAGAGAATATGAGGATATTTATTGCTTTCTGGCTTTAACACCTGCCACATTCTTTTGTATTCTTTATTTTTTTTACATTTCTGTTCACATAAATGTTTTTCCATATCCTTTTTCTTTTCTTTACAGTCGCTTTCTATTCGTTATGCCGAGTGTATCCTAACGTTAACATTGGTAGTCGCGCGTCGTATAGTATCAAATACTAAATAAATGTAGAGGTAGAATTATATTATGAAATTATTCAATTCCGCCTTTTTGTTAGCATAATTCTTCGGTAAAATATTTTCTTGGCTAGTTAACAAGATGTCCTGCTACACATAAGAAAAATATACGACAAATATACGATCGTATACGAGCGCCGTTTACGGTCGTCGTATGCAATGGTCGTTTACGACAGTCGTATGAAATCGTATTATGCCGTATACGACAATCGTATACGGCGATCGTATACGATCGTCGTAATAAGTCGTATTTCCTCGTATACGGTCGTATACGATCGTGGCTTTTAAACCTGGGTAATGATTTAAACGTGTATCTATAGTTTATCTATTTTGTTTTCTTTGATTTTCTTAAAGACAAAGAATATGATTCATTCATGTATTTTATGTACAATAGATACGAACAGACGAGAAAATGGTCTATTGTAACATAGAAATAACAAACGGTGGCTTATTGTATTACGAAAAGAAATTCTATTATAGAATCAATAAAATTTTACTTCTAATATAAATATCGTATAAATAGCAAAGGAAAACAGTTGAAATCAGATTTTTTTTATTCAAAATTCATTAAGAAATCAAAACAATCAATTGCTTCTCTGAGCTAAAAGTGCATTCTATTTTATTTTTAACTCAGACAAAATATCATTTTCTCATCAGAACTTCGATTATGTATGAATTTTGCAATTAAAAAACGACTTTTTTCTTTAAATATCTTTGACAATCAAGTGTGGAAAGTCGCAATTCATATTACACTTAATCTGAATACTTTGTTCGTCGATATTTTGACAGTTCGATTGAAAGAAATAAGCGAGAACTAGATTTCATCACATGAAAAGAACAAATATAAAAGGTACATATTCTTGAAGTGGACTAATCGAAAATAAATATCAAATGAAAATGTACAAAACATAGTTTGGTTGAAAAAATATTTTGTAAAATAATTTATTAAAGAAGCGTATTTAGGGGAATGGGTGCTCACATTATTTTAGTTCCAATCACAATCACAGTTCCGATAAAAAATTTTCGCTTGGTTCATGTCCTGACTCTGATCTGGATTGAGACTTTTATCCAGTCCCCATCCCAGTCTCAAGTCTTTTCAACAATGTCCCATTGTTGTTTGGTAAAAACTAGACTTTATTTGCGAATCAATTTTTTTTCCTCTATGCATTTTTTCTTAGAATATGCTTTTTCGCATATACAATATGTTGATGATGAATCGAAACGTTTCTTTTGATTATTTTCACGAAATTCATTAAGACATTCAATTTCTTTCATTGTTGCTTCTCGATAAACTTTATACTAAATAAAACTCAATCAATAAGGTCATGAAAAAAAAAATTTAACAACAACATATTTTATTGTGATTTTAATAACCAATAGAGTTTTCTATCGAACACATCCTATAGCAAGACTTTATAGATGAAGAATGATGGCAAGATTTCCAAAACACAACAAGACACACTAATCTTCAGGTCTTAGAAGCTATTTTTTTTAACAATATCATTTTAAAGAGGACGAAATTCTGAACAAAATAATGGATTGCCGCATTTCCTATGAAATTCCCTTAAAAATTAAAAGTATCACAAAAAAACACGAAATCTATCAAAAAAGGGTCTTCGTTCGGTCTTTATGATACTTTGAACTTTTTCAAGGAAGGTCATAGAAAATGCGGCGACATCTTATTTTATTCAGAATTAAGTGCTCTTTAAAATGGCATTGTTAAAAAATAACTTCTGGGATTTGAAGATTTACCGTGTCCGATATGCTATAGGATGTATTCGATCAAAAATAATACCATTGGCTATTAAAATCACTATAAATAAATTGCTGTTAAACTTGTTTTTTTTCCATCATCTGATATATTTAAAGAATTTTTAAATTTAACTTTTTCTTACCACAGTTTTTGGATCATTCTCATCCCTAGCAAGTACTTTAGCAATTGTATCATCTAAAATTCCAAATGATTCATTAATTGGTCCATCAGCTGTTATTCGTTTTGAAGCTTGTCGTTTTTTTGTTATTGTTTTTGGTGCAACACTTATACGTGGTGTAATCATCTATTTAAAAAAAAACCTTTAAAAAAATTCTTTTTTTTTGTTTTTATGTAAGATTTCAACCTCAATAAAAGTTAAATTTGAATCTGGTCGACGAAAAATTGTTTGTGTTTTCTCAAGCCATGAAGGTGCTTGTAAAATAGTTTGTTCAATTAATTTTAATGGTTCCAAATCAATATGAAAATGTCGAGCTTGATCATATAATTGTTCATATGAAGATAAAAATGGATAATGTTCACCTTGTTGCATTTGTTCAAATTTTTCATTCCATGTATGACATTCATTAATTAAAGTTTTTATTTTATCAATTGAATTTAAATGAATATTTGCTTCATCAGCACTTTTAACAAATTCTTCTAAGGTATTTAATGTTGGACGTGGTCTAAAGAATATTTTTTGATAAGAGAAAACTATCGAGATTTATCTATTGATTTTAAAAAAAAATATTTTAACTTATACATGAGAGAAAATTATTATATGAATTTTGTTTTTGATATAACGTTGCAATGCAATATCGTAGAAATGTTAGGCAAAAAAAAAGTCTAGTGTAAAAATATATAAAAGAATTTGATCGAAAGTACTTTTTGAAGATTATAAAAGTCTTAGAACAATAGGTAGATCATATATATAACTATTGATTAGAACGATGGTTTTCGTATGATATTAAAATAATTGATCAAAGCATACAAGAGATTGAACAGAAAATAGTTTAATTAAAAAAATTGATTTTGCATTTATAATGCGAAAACAAAGTTTTCTACAATTTCTCTTTTGGAGTAGACTTTAATTATTTTTTGACTATGATCAGTAGTTACGAAAAATCGGTGGTACCGGAAGATGTTATAATAATGTTCATATCCACTATAGTAAACCTTTTATATTGTGTGATGCCTTTTCTAAATTGAAAAAAGTTACGAAAGCGCTTTCCAATATCTTTTGTTCTAAGGCTTTTACGATGACCTTCAATAAACATTTCCGATGAAAGCCTTTTATATACTTTTGTACTACACAAATGTAGAACTTTTTCTCCATCCGTTATAATAAAAAATATCAAGATTTAGAGAAAAATAAGTCATAAAAGCTACTCTTTACATGTATTATTGAGTTTTATGAATTAGACAGATTAATATTTTGAATTTCTAATAAAGATAATATTTTGTTAAATTAATAGTTTCATTTATCTCTCTAAGTTTATTAATGATTAATCAATCTTCATCAAAATAATTCAGAAAAAAAAAGACTTTTGTATAATTTAAAAATTTTTCTCAATAATGTTTCATAACTTTTTTTTAATTTTAAACTTGAGTTCTTATTCGATGTTAAACTTTGTCATATATAATCTAATACTAATATAGTCCTAATGAAATAATTTACTCGTCTTTGGTTAATTGTCGAGATTTTTCATCCCAATATTCTAATTGTTGTAAGTGTGTTTGTAATTCATTAATTTTTTGTTGTATTCGTTGATGTAATGCTTGAAATGTTTGTCCATATGATATTAATGATCGAAGTTTACTTGGCGATATTGTTCGATTTAATGTTTTTTGTACAAGTTCATACCAAATACTAGCTTGATATAATAATTTTAAACGTTCAATAATTGGTAATTCCATATGATATTGATTACTACGTTCAATATAATTTGAATAAACATCTGTTAATTGAAGTTTATCCGATTGAAGTAATGTTTTTATTTCATCTTGATAATGAAGACAATCAGTTAAAATATTCTAAAAGAAAAAAATTTTTAAATTAATAATA